TGCTGTCGTCTAGGGAGATTTGGAGCTGTTGAGTCTGTCTCTCTCTGGAGCGTGACTGATGAACTTCAAAAATGTGGCGCATTCCAAGGCCTTGTTTTCATCTGACTGTGCCCTCCGTCAGCCCCGGAGGTGTTAACATGATGATGCTGAGCAATAAACACTGCATGGCACAGGTTTGGAATACTAGGATGACACATGCAGCGTAAATACGTCTTCCTGATTGAAAGCCCCTGACAATTCATCTCCATTTACTTTAAAAACAGATCCAAAACAGTCATAACATTACAAGATGGGGCCGCGTGACCCCCTTCAATCATGCTGCTCACCTCCTTGTGGGCCTTCTCGGTTTTGCGGATGTCCTGGCGCATGGCGTCGATCTTCTGCATCACCACCTCCATCTCCTCCTCCTTGTCCCGCAGCTGTCTCGACAGACGCTGTTTCTGTGAGCGCAGCTCGGCCATGCGCTCGTTCAGCTCCGAAAACTCCTGCATGGCCAGCTTCCTCTGCTGGTTGGCGTCCTTCAGCTCCTTGGTCTGAGACTTCAGGCGATCCAGAGACTCCACCAGTTGCTGGAAAGGGAGAGCAAGAGAAATGAATGATAAACTGGGATGGAGGGGTGAGATCAGAACACCAGAAGATGTGAAAACGATAGCACTGAAAGAGTGTGCGAGAGGAGCAGTGGAAGGAGAGAACAAGAAAAGAGCAGCTGCGCCTGGAGAGAAAGGACTGAAAAGAGGCTGAGTGAGAAATAGAAATCATCAAGAGGATTGGGAGTTGTGCGCTAAAAGAACGGGTCACACACTCGTAAGGAGAAATGAACACAGACTGAAAATGGTTCTCATATCCCAGCCATGAAGAGCTTCGGCGGGTACGAGCCAACCCAGGGCTCTGGGTCAACAGTCAAGTGGAACGGCTTAACAAACTCGATTAGCTAAAAATGTGAAACGCGGTGAGAACCTTGACCTGCCCTGTGTGAGGGGGTGATGACATTAATCTTGATGAAGCGGGCCAGTGTTTATGAACTTCTTGAAGAGGACATGTAACCTTCAGCACGAGGACAGGAGAACTGTTCTTTGCCAATTATGTCTGCAGTCACATAATCTGTTACAGCATGTAATCCGTTTCATGCACAGTATATGACGACACTCGCTGTTAAGGTGTTCAAGGGATTTTTACATCTCAGTATCTCAGTATTTTACATCTCAGTAGAACAGCAGAGTTGCTGTTCAGTTCAGTTTTTTTTTATAATAATTTATTTTAATGAGTTAAAACCATACAGCATGTTCTTTTTATTGAATCAAACAAATAAAGCTTACAATTTACTGGCCTGAGTTATTTAAATTTAAGACGAACTGCAGGTTGCAGCAGATATTTTCTTTCTTATGGTGACCTACACCTGCCTGTAGCGGAATATTGACAAAGAAAAAACGTAGGGTATATATCTATTGGTTATTAATTGGATTTTAAGAGGGTGTATACAATTTCAAAATATTTGTTTCTCAACATACAAAAAGAATCGTTAATGGAACGTTTAGGACTCGTTAGGCAACTGGAACCTTCTGATTGCCATCCAGGAAGGAATCTGATCAAATGTTTATGGGGCTGAATTTTGTGGGCATAATTTCTCTTACTACAAGAAAGCAGTTCTTGCATACAGGAATGGCTGGTAATTCAACTCTCCAGTCATTCATACCTTATGGATATCCTCTTTCTCCTGCTTGAGAGCTTTAACTTGCTTGTCCAGGGCTTTTAGTTTGCTGGAGGAACTTTCAAAGTCCTGTCGAAGAGTCACTGCCTCCTCGAGCTGGTGCTCCAGCCTATCAGAGTCTGGGGAGGGACGAGTCACTCAGAGTTAGCTTGAATGTGACTGATTAGCTGACACAAATGTCCAGCCAAATAAGCAAATTAGGAAATTCTGATAAGAGGAAGTTGTGTTGACTTGCAATCTTCACACAAAGACTTATGTGTGATCGTAGTTCATCTATAACGTAGGCGTGTCTGTAGTGCTTTGACATGACTCATAACAGACTTTATCATATCATATATCCACTGGCAATGATTGGGAGACCCATTACCTGCCAGTTTCTTTTTTAGCCGATCGATTTCCTCATTGAGTTTTTTAATCTCTTTATCACGACCAAGCGTGCCGGCCCCACGCCCAGAGCCATGGAGGGACTGAACAGCCTGAGTGGACTCTAGGAAATCATGTGTGGAACAAAAAAATCAGTAAATACCCAGAATACATTTCACTGATGGACTTACAAAATGAAACAGAACTACTAACACTAAATAAATTGTATAGCAATGGCTTAAAGTGATAATTCACCCAAAAATTAAAATTCTGCCATCATTTACTCACCCTTGTGTCATTTCAAAGCCACAAGACTTTTGTTCATTTTTAAAACACAAATGGAGATATTTTAATGAAACCAGAGAGGTTTATGTTGCTCCACTGAAAGCCCATTTCACCAAAAGTTTGTATACATTTCACCAAAAAAGTTCATAAAGAGATTGAAAAAGTAAAGTACGGTTTAATCCGAGTCTTATGAAGAGACACCTTCACTTTATATGAGGAACAAATTAATTTAGGCTTTTATTCACGTTCACGTGCTCAATTCATATGGAATACATTTACAATGTCTTTTTGATGTTTTGGTGGAATGGACTTGCAATGAAGGGACAGAAATCTCTTAGGTTTCATTAAAAACATCTTCATTGTGTTTCAAAGATGAACAAAAGTCTTCTGGGTTTGAATGACATGAGGGTGAGTAATTGAAGACAATTTAAATTTTTGGGTGAACCAACGCTTTAAACGCTTTCTTTAGATATCAGGTGGAGTTTATGTTTATTACCCTGCAGCTTGCGGTTGAGCTCCTGTTTCTCCTGCTCCAGACAGAGAATCCTCTTCTCAAAGGCTTCCACCGGCAGACCTCCATCCTGGAGATCCTCCCCAGCACCTCCATCCGCCAGCGCCACCCTCCTCACGCTGCCACGGTCTGAGAAACAGCTCTCTGTGGTGTAGGTGAAGCCCACAAAGGGCAAGTGCTGCCCGGTGAAACCCGTGTGAGATACTGGGGGAGCGATGTCCTGCAGAGGGAAACGGAAGAAGTCAGAGGTCAAATACAAACAAGAGGGCATTCTAATATAATCAAGGTTTCAGACTTATGTTGCATGGGGAACCAAAAAAATTCCTTCAATGATAAAAGCATTTCAGAGTTAAACCAACCGGGTTTTTTAGCACATCATCATCTACATCAAAGTTGGAGGTGTCTGAGGGTGAGCTGACGTCAGGGATGTACGGTGCCTCTGTGTTGCGAATGTTCTCCCAGTCGATGCTGGAGAAGAAGGGGTGCTTCTTGAACTCCTCGATGCCATGCTGACCCAACCGACTCTCTCTACTGCAGATCAGACGCTGGATCAGATCTTTAGCCTCCTCGGACACATCCGTGATGTGAGAGGGGAACTGGAACCGCTCCTAAATAGCGCAAATTAGACCAGTTTACTTCAAACATCAATATTTCCAGATTTTCCACCCTAAACCACTACTCAGGGGTGACCAGATGTGCCGATAAAATTAGGGCAGTCCTGATTTTATGAACCATGTCATGATGTGTCCCAAAGGAGTTAGAGCCGGGATGTTATTTGTCATGATAACTAGCTTAGGCTTTATTTTTACTGGCTTTAAATAAACATTTTCAACTGATTCACTGTGGTTCATGCTTTTTCTGTCATGAGAAATTTCTAAATCCTCAAGATGCAAATGTGTGATTGCAAATGTTAATGTCTGTTTTTCTGTGGTGGGGAACATGTAAATTGGACAAATACCAAAAAACTTGGGAAACGCAGATCTGATACTCAGTATCTGTCTGCATCAGCTCTGACGCTGTCATTTTCTGCCGGATCAGTTATCGGTCCGACGAGACCGATCTAAATCTGATATTGTGCGTATACTATTCTGTGTTATTACACGGCTCTGTAGAATACTTGATTCTGATTGGTCAGTCCTGACATTCCGAGGTATGTTATCCCTCGATAACAACTGGTGAAAGCTGATAACACAGGCTCAATTATTTAATTGTACAATGTGTACAATTATTTAATTATGTCATCCTGGTACTCGCTCTCGTTTCATACAAACGCAGCTGCTGTCATTTTGTGATGACTGTTTTGTACACTGTAATGGATTATAGGAACTAACAAGAACTAATAATAACTAACATACTGGTAAGACTTAAACAGTTTTGTCTTAAATCAATATCTTTTATCACCTTAATTATTTATGTGGTGAAATGTTGTGTAATAAGTGGTATCCGCATCCCTTCAATGTCTAGCAACTGCTTTCTTCACGGAAGCTTTGCGTTCAAATGTTTCAACTCAAATCAATATTTTGTGTCTACTTATTTACTTATGTGGCAAGTAGTCGTATAATAAGCAGGATAATGTACATTCGGAGGGGTCTTTTATCACCCTGAAGGGGGTTATTCTGCGATAACAACCGGCTGGATGTACGTGTAAGTTTTTGTGCACTATATTCCAAGTGTTCTGAAGTCGTTCCATAGTTTTATGTGAGGTACAGATGAATATTTAAGTCGTTAAATACAATTTCACTTAAACTCTTCTCTCCACTGCGGCTGACTGTCATACTACATTCAGCATTCAAACTGCATGTTGCGTTCAGTTACGAAAGTCAAGATGTTGAAACTGTCCAAGATTATTCAATGCACCTATTTTTATAAATGATCTGTGGATAAAGATCAATGTTTTGCATAAAAGGACTTTATCTTGCTGGAGTTTAGTGCTGTCTCTAAATCATGTTACTTTCTACCAGGTGTCTGTTAGATCACAACACTGGAGTAGAGAGCCCTATCACACAGATATAATACATTACGCATCAATATCTCTCTGTGCTTTGAACTTTTCTACGCGGAGCGCTGCACACTGTGAATCAACTCAAAAAAAAAAAAATGGTATCGGTGCATCCCTACAAAAAACACATTGATGAAGCATCTCACCTCGTGGTTCATGATCTTCCCGTAGGTCTCCACCAAGGATTCAGCGTAGAAGGGCGTCTCGCCGTAGAGCATCTCATACATGCAGACGCCAAGAGACCACCAGTCACACTCCAGCCCGTACTTCCCCATGCCGTCTTCCATGGCCTGCAGGATCTCAGGGGAGATGTAGTCCGGGGTGCCCACAGCCACTGATGACCGGACCTGCACAGGGGATGACAGGAAGTGAGGTCACAAACAAGGCTGAATAGGTTCATCTGCAATTTAAAAATGTAAAATTTAAATTTTCAGCAAAGATGCATTCAATTGATCAAAAGTGACAGGAAAGATTTCTATGATGTTATAAGATTTATTTCAAATAAATGCTGTTCTTTTCAACTTTTAATTCAAAGAATCTTGGGGGGAAAAAATCATGGTTTACACACAAATATTAAGCAGCATAACTGTTTTTAACATTGATAATAAAATGTTTTTTGAGCAGCAAACCAGCATACTAGAATGATTTCTGAAGGTTCATGTGATACTAAAGACTCGAGTAATGGCTGAAAATTCAGCTTTGCCACCACAGAGATAAATTACTTTTTAAAATATAAAATAAAGCAGAAAACAGTTATTTCAAATTGAGATTTCACAATATGGCTATTTTACTGTATTTATGATCAAATAAATGAAGTCTAGGTGAGCATAAGTGGCTTCTTTCAAAAACAGTACAAAAAATAAAACATACAAAATACAATTTAAAACCTCACAGACCCCAAACTTCTGCAAAGTAATGTACTTTAAATGAGTGACAACATCTATAAACAAATTAACCAGCAGTGTACAACAACACTACTATAAAGATCTAGAGACATAATATTCACCATGACAAGTCTTGCTCGATCTTGCCCATAAAACATGTACCATACAAAAGCACTCAAAATATGTCTCGACCTTCGGTTATTTTGGCAGAATGTTTAATTGCAGAGAAGACGTAAAGAGATAACTGAAGATAAGTTTGAAAGATGTTGAGAGACGCATAAAGATGCCTTCAAGCAACATTACAGACAGCATGACAGACACAAATTAGGGCTTTGTGGCTTTTACTTTAATGTTTGCAAAAACATATCTATATATAAGTGTGCCAATAAACAGACAAAATGTACTTTTACCAGGTACAATAATACTTATACTAATATTTATTACAACACAACATTTATTTTGAATTTCTTCATTTTTACATTAAACTATCAAGCTTTCATTTCCTGCTGAAAACTGCTGGGAGCCTTTAAAGCTTCTCTTATGCTAAAAACGGCTGGTTTATAAGCACTCCTCAAGTTCTCATTACAAGATGATGCATTTTCAAACGCATGTTATAAGCGCATCAAACTTACAGCATATGCAGAAATAAGATTGTGTGGAGCAATATTAACTGTGAACGGTTCACAATTTTGGTCTTATTTCGAATAATCACGCAAAGATCTCCTGTACTCGACATCTAAATATAGGAGTAACATCTACAAATATGCAGGGATCTGTTCAGTTGGTGTGGAACACAGGGGCCAGTTGCATAAACACAGCCGCTATGTTAAGACTGTGTTTTAAGAACTGGTTTGACCAACTAGTAGCTAGCCAAGAGGTAATCAGATCTACTTTTTGGATTCAAATTAGACCTCCCTTTTTATAGCTGACTTTATAAAAGTTCTGACCAGTCTTAAAGAAAAAAAAATTAGATGACTATCTTTTTAAGACTAGTCTAAGCAGTTTATGCAACCGGCCACAGCACATATGCAGCTGAAAAACTAAAGCCTCGCTTTTCCCTTTTACTGTACATGCTGCTGGCACAGAGGACACACACACACACACACAGAGCAGTAGATAAAAGCTGTTTTGGCCTTGGTCTTGTTATCAGTGTGCTATGGTGACTCATTAGTCTGTGAGACAGAGGGGTGGGCAGCGACGGGCCTTTCTAATTAGCCCATCCCTTGTAGGCCAGCAGGGCCAAAAGCAGCTCTATTAATGTCAGGAGCAGAGAGAGAGGAGAGGGCAGGGGCAGTGCTTTCACCCAACAGATGGAGACCACCCTGCAAGGATGACAGACAGACTCTGGTTTTAGATCGACACTTGAGTTCGAAGTTGAGCCCTTCATCACATACTCACCGTGCCGTCTTGCATCATCTTCAGGCAGGAGCCGAAGTCAGCCAGACGGATGTGACCGTTCATGTCCAGTAGCACATTGTCTGGTTTTATGTCCCTGTGAGAACAGGAAACACAACATTTAAGCATGAAATGACTCAAGAGGAGCTTTAAAAAGCAGTGGTTCTTAACCAGCTTTGCTTCAGGACTTCAGGATTTTACATTGGACATCAAGTGATGACCCAAATCCAAATTGTTTAGCACACAAAAATGTCAACAAAAATAAAAGATTGGTAACTATTAATATTAAAAGGAACTGCATTGGCCCTATAATATGTAAAATTATTAACCTCACTTATAATGACCAAGAAAATCGACAATTTTGGTTTCTAAACGTCTCTCGAATTTCGGTGGTTTCATACTCTCAGTAGTTGCACAAACGCAATGTGGTCAGCGGAAACCATACTTCATTGCAAGTTAACTTGTATTTAATGAAGTCTCTAGGTCGTGTCATTTTTCTTCTAAACCATCTGTAGTTTTGGTTTTCAAGGATGAGGGTATATCATGCATCCTGTCCAGGTTGGCATCCGGCTTATTTGCCTAGATTATATTTAATGGCTGATGAATCTGCTCAAAAATAATGGGCATCACTTTACAGTAAGGTTTCATTTGTTAACTTTGTTCATTTGTTTGTAATTTCAACTAATACATTTAAAATAAATTAAACATGTTGTTAACATTTGTTAATATGCTGTGAACAAACGATGAAAAACTGTATTTTATTAACTAACATTAACAAAGACTAATACATTCTAAGAAATATGTACACTACCGTTCAATAGTTTGGGGTCGGGTAGATTTTTTTTTTTTTGAATGAAGTCACCCAGGCTGCATTTATTGGATCAAAAATACAGTGAAAAATTGTGAAATATTATAACAATTCCAAATAACTGTTTTCTATTTTAATGTATTTTAAAATGTAATTTATTCCTGTGATGGCACAGCTGAATTTTCATCTGTCTTCAGTCTTTCCAGTCTTTAGTGTCACATGATCTTAAAGAAATCATTCTAATATGCTGATTTGTGCTCAAGAAATATTTCTTATTTATAATCAGTGTTGTGCTGCTTAATATATGTGGAAATTACGATATAGTTTTTTTAACATTACTTTAATGTATTAATTACTGTACTTAAATCAATTAATTTCTTTGAAAGAAAAAATACAAATCTTACTGAACCCAAACTTTTGAATGGTAGTTTAGATATCATTAGTTCATGTTAGCTAATGCAAGCATTTTGCACTCACATTGCACTGTGAGGTATTACTACTCCAGTGGGCAACCCACTCTGCGGCTGCTCTCCAGGGTGGCTGTTTCTCCATGCCCAGCCATGCCCTGCCTTTGTTCACCCTCCCCCCTTCACACACACTCAGTTCCTGTCTCTCGACGACTGGGCCTCACACACAGTGCCCTCTGATTCACAGCCCTGGCACCATGGCGAGCACAGCGGGTACAGAGTAAACATGATGTCAAAACTCATCACACACACACACACACCATTCACAACCTCACTGGGTGTCAGTATAAGCACGAAGGGTTGTACTCATGGACACGTGTGTTTACGAGCGCTAGCATGACTTTAGTCAGCTGCTTTGGCTTGACAGGCTGGTTACTATAATCAAGAATGATGGGATGTGTTTAAAAGGCTGTTATGATTGGTTGGGGGAATAGAGTTAAAGGCATAGTTCATTAATTCACCCTCACGTCAATACAAACCTGTATGACTTGTTTTTGTCAATGAGACACAAAAACAGACGTTTGAAGAACATTAACACTACCCTTTTCCATAAAATGAAAGCTGAAGGGAACTGATGTTACAAAAAACATCATAGAAGTAGTAAATTTTTAGTAGTAAAATCTAATTTTTAGTTTAATTAATGCACTTTAATCTAAATCTTCTGAAGCAATATGATAGTTCTGTGAGAGAAAGAGACTGAAATCTAGGTTATTCGCTAAAAATATTGCTTGACAACAGTAGCCGTTCATATTCATTGTATGGAAAAGACCAGCGTGAATTTTCTTGCTAGGGTCACACAATTTGGGTGAAAAAAAAAATCGAATTGCGATTTTTTTTTTTGTTAAAAATTTATATCAATATGACTATAAAGTATATTTATATGACTTTATTATGATTATTATTATTTAAAAAAATATTACACAAAATAAGAAATATTCCTATTGTAATTTAACTGTAAAATAAAAAAAAATTGAGAATAAGAAAAAAAATCTATCTTACAATAAAATACAGTAAAACTGGAAAATAATACTAATATGTGTCTTAATTTCCTTAATGTTCAAACAAAAGATCCATTGAGCTTTTATTGGCGCATGTTGCATTTCCAAAGTTATATGTAACCCAAACTCTGAGCAAATGCAGTTTGTTTGGAGCAGCATTTACTGTGAAACTTGGTGCTTGGAAACACTAAAAACACCAGATCATGAGCTGCTTGTGTGTAAAAGTGCTGCGCTTCACTCTAAAGCAGTGCATGTATTCATTTAATTAAATCATAGCTTTTGTAGTTCCATAATCACACTAAGCAATATCACTATTACAGTCTTATTTTGATTCATCCAGTGCTTACATTCGGCTAAACATTTCCTTATGGGTTGTATATAATGTGAGGGAGAGTAAATGTTCAGTTTTTGGTAAATTACCTCTTTAACGTCGCTACTGTATCAGAGGTGAAGCCTTCACAAGCTTCCACAGAAGGAAGGAAGAGGGGGCTCAGCTGGACCAGATGGCAGTCCAGGACAAGCAGCCAGGAAGAGGCCCCTGAACCTGAACAGATCTGCAGCCCAGAACACCACAGCCATCTGCGGCCATTTCATTAAATGTTTCATGTGGGAGTGGACATGTGGGTGAGGTGCTGTTGATGTCCAGTGCACCCATCACTCACACAGGGGTAATGACCAATCTGCCTTGCTTGCGAGTACATGTTCAAACACTGGGGCAGAATCCTACATTGGGCAAATTTTGTTTGGGCATATCGTTTTGTCTGGATCCAGTCTTGTGTTAAAAAACCTGACTATCAGCGCACATCACTGCTTATTCTGGCTAAAAACGGCCCACTTGAACAGAAAAGGGTTATCTGATATTTAAAGTGACCAACCACAGTTTGCTTTTTACAGACTTTTAAGGAATGGTAAATCAAAAACTTGTATATACAGTGGGGAAAATATTTATTTGATCCCGTGCTGATTTTGCAAGTTTGCCCACTTACAAAGAAATGAAAGGTCTGTAATTTTTATGGTAGGTTTATTTTAACGTATAGGGAACACCAACCAAAAAAATCCAGAAAATACACATTATATTAGAAATTGATTTGCATTTCAGTGAGTGAAATAAGTATTTGATCCCCTACCAACCAGCAAGAATTCTGACTCCAACAGATTGGAACACAGATTAGTCCCGCCACTTTAAGAAGTTACTCCTAATGTCAGCTCGTTAGGTGTATAAAAGACACCTGTCCACACAACTCCTAGAACAAAGCAAAACCTTGCTGAGAAGACCAGCATGAATGCCCAGGATTATATCCTAGTACCCCAACTCCTAGGTCATGGGTTCGATTCCCAGGGAATGCATGAGCTGATAAAAAAAAAAATTATACCTTCAATGAAATGCAAGTCACTTTGAGTAAAAGCATCTGCCAAATGCATAAATGTAAATGTCTGGGCTGGTTTAGGCTGGTTTGGTGCCGGCCTACCAGCATGATCTTTGTGGTAAACTTTTTGGCTAAGAAATTCCTGCTGGTTAAAGCTAATTACGAATCAAGTCTGCGTCTGATTCTCACTTGGTCTTTAATTCTCCCTTCACACACACAAACACACTATCATGTCACCTGTGTACGTAGCGTTGCTGATGGATGGAGTGGATAGCGAGCACCATCTCTGCCACATAGAACTTGGCCATGTCCTCCGGGAGTCGGTCCTCAAATTTACTAAGCAAAGTCAGCAGGTCGCCTCCCACATAATAATCCATCACCAAGTACTGCAGGAGGAGACAATATCATCTCTTATCACACAACACCATTCAATTACACAATCACTGACTCGGCACTTTATAATATCAACTGAACGACACCAATTATGATTATGAACAAATATTTATCACACAACCACACAGAATGCACTGTGACCTATCCTCCAGTACTCTGTATTAGTGTGATTGAGGGTTGTGCTATCAGAGGTTGCGCTACAAATAATCATCATCAGTCACTCTGATAAACATGACATTTTCATCGTGGCCAATTTTTCAATGCATCATTTCATTGATAATTATTTAAACATTATATAATGAATTACATATTAATTACATTAACTATATATGGCTTAGCGATTTTATCTAGCTTGCTTACCTTAAATACACCAAAAAATAGACGTTATTTATGCATTCACAGTGTTGTTATTGTTAGGGATGCACCGATACCACTTTTTCCAGTTCTCGCCCGATACCGATTTTATTTTTGGTACTTGCCGATACCAATATTTTTATTGCATTTGTAAATTTTTAAAATATTGGGTACAGAAACCAAAAGAGTATGTATAATGTTAGTTGGTTAACTTAATTTATCAAATAGATACAGTCAAGCCAAAATTTATTCTGACACCTTCAACATTTATCACTTTATCACAGTTTATTTGCTATAGTTTAGAAAATGGTAATAAAATATGACAAGAACTCAGAGTCAAACTGTGTCAGAACAAATTCAGCTTGATAATGTCAGATAACTTTGATAGAAAGGTAAGTAATAGATTACAATCAACCAAAAATTAGACGGCTGTTAGTATGACAGTATTTACACAACTATCAATACTTAGTCGGGCAACCCTTAGCCTTAATGACAGCATATAGTCTCCTGGGCATGCTGTCATCCAGCTTCATGCAAACCTGAACTTCAATGTTTTTTCCCAGACTCGGTCTGAATAATTTTTGGTCCCAAATTTGTATAAATTTTACTGGTAGTCCACTGTATGAAGA